CCCCAAAAGAATTTGGGTCCCATTTGTTTGAGAGGGAAATGATGAGGATGGGATGTAGACCCCAAAAAGGGAAAACCCTGGACTTGCGCACATGGCCAAATCTCTGGTGTTCTGCTGAGGCTATACCCATCAACTGGCCTTCCTACGGCCCCAGGTCACTTTCCACCCTTAATCCTATCTAGGTTCCATTCTCCCATGGCCAATTCTATTACCTCATAGACTCCTTGGCCACTCCTAGATTCCTCCCCTAGTCTTAATGTATATAAGGTCCATCTTGCCTCCTTTAAGGTGCTCAGATTCTTAAAATCTAGACAATAGCTCACTAATGTTCAGACTCCTTAAGAGTCTGCCCAATATGACAGGATGTTCTAACAAACCTTGTTTTTGACTGAAAGAAAAAACAAACCAAAAAAAAAAACTTTAAAGCACTATGAAAGGTATCCCTAAAATTTTAGTGAAGTTTTAAGCCAGTAAACCCTTTGAGGCACCATGAATAACTTTCAACTATCATTATTATTACCTTTTGCAAAAATGAGGATTAATAATTAATAATAATTTCTTATATTAAAATCTCAAAGGGAAAGAATGGACAAGGAGCAAATTAATTTTGTATGTTATTTGTATAATAATTAGGCTTCCCTAATTCCCAGATTTGGTTATAAAATAACAAGGAATTGAAAGCACAAATGAAAAGATAATGCAACATTCAAGAATGCATTTTGATGAACACCCCCATTTAAAATAAAGAAGCAACCTAATAAGGAATATAGTGTAAAGACAAATTTGTTCAGAGGACAACCTATCATAATCTCAGATTCCATTCCACTCATCCAATATTTATTATGAATTCAATTTACATCATTATTATGATAACTGGCTTTAATTCTTTTCTGTAATTATCTCTTTATTGTCAATAACAACTTCTCCCCTCAGATCTTGTATAAAAATTGGTTTTGGATAAAACCAGAATCTTAATGGGTGCTCAAGAACTGAGAAATGACTGTATAAATTTTGATACTTCAATGTAATAGAATATTATCATTCAGTAAGAAATGATGACAATGAAGGATTGAGAGATTCTTTTGGAAGATTTATATAAACTCTTGTGAAGTGAAGTAAGCAGAACCAAAGGAACAATGTACATAATTATTACAATAATGTAAATGAAAATAACACTAAAGGTGATCAAATTCAGACTAATTGCAAGAACCAATCTTGTTCCTAGAAAAAAAAGTTAATGGCAATTCTATCTTCCCCATATAGGTGAGGGACTATGGCAGTAGAATGTTTCATTTGCAGGTAGACATGGTCATTTTGTTGGTCAGTTGTGCTGAATTTTTTTTTATCTTATGACAAGGAAAGATACAGTAGGGCAGGGTGCTATATGGGAAAACGGCTGCATAAAAAACCATTCATTAATAAAAATAAAATTTGACTTTACATATGTTTTATATTTTTATCATATGCTATATGTCATAATTATTTGTGTATATGTTCTATCCTGATACTGGAATGTACACTTGACAAGGACAGTGATTATACCTTAGCAAAATTCTATCCTAGCCTCTAGTTTAGCACTCTGAATTCAGCATGTGTTTAACAAATATAAATTGAATTGAATGTCACTTGCAGAGAATCAGCTGATGGAGTGAAAGAGCCCTTGACTGAGAGATGGGAATCACTGGGAGGCAGTAGATGTAGCTCTAATCCTAGATCTGCTACTAGTTAGCTGTATGACTTGGGGCAAACAATTTTACCTCTGCGTGGCTCAGTTTTCTCATCTGAAAAATAAGATGGTCTCTAAAATTCTTTCCAACTCCAAAATTCTTTGATTTTTTATTCTTAAGAATCTAAATTTTTATTAAATTTAAATTTAGGGAAAGTTAAAATAAAATATTTTAAATTTTTATATTGGACACTAGATTACTATTTTTAAATTAAAACTCCATGCATGAGAATAACATACACATCTAATTTTGAAGTTTAAATTTTCCATAATTTAGAATGTGTAAAAAATGAAAAGCAGTTATATAGTTTGTCCAGAGGGAGAAAAGATGTTTTCAATTAGAAACGTTAGAAATTCTTATCCTCTGACTCTTTCAGTTACTATTTTTGTGACCTTGGGCAAGACATTTCTCCTTTCTATGCCTCTATTTCCTCATATTTAAAATGAAGAGGTTGAACACTAGATGACTTCTAAGATCCTTACCAGCACTAAAGTTTTGATACTATGATTCCCTGACTCTTCAAAAGATTGCTCAGTAAGAACAGAAGACTTCTGAGCTATAAATTATTATTCTTATCAGGTTTTTTGAGTTGTTGCTTCCTAAATTAATTGACAAATTTGCTGCTATATCAATGAAATACCAAAGAATTACTTTTGAAAATGGAACAAATGATAAAAAAATTCATCTGGAGGAACAAAAGATTGTAAATCTCAAGAGAAATAATGAGAGGGATGGGAAGAAGTAGGAAGAATGGGGTCTTAGTAGTACCAGATGACAAATTTAAAAAATCAGTATTATTTGGAACCAAAAAATAGAAAAGTTATTTAGTGGAATAGATTAGGTAGATAAGATCCAAGAACAACTGAAATCAGAGTCAAGGCCTCACTATTTGATAAAAAGGGCTAAGAAAATTAGAAAGAATTCTGGGAGAAACTAGGCTTATATCAACATCTCAGCACATCAAAATGGATATATGACCTACATGTGAAAGATCACAGCATGAGCAAATTAGAGGAGCAAGGAAGAAAATACATTTTACAACTATGGATAGGGATGAATTATTGACCAAAGAAGGTTGAGAGAAGATCAAAAGTGATCTTTGATCCACTATTAGGCAAAAGAAATAAGACAGAGAGAAAGGAGCCATGTGTACAAAATATTTATAGCAACTCTTTTTCTTGGTAGCAAAAAACTGGAAACAATGGATGGCCATTATTTGGGGTATGGCTAAACATATTATGCTGCACAAATGTAATAGAGTATTATTACACCATATGAAATGACAAAATGTATAGATTTAGAGAAAACTTGGAAAACTCAAATAAACTGATGAAGAATGAAGTGAGCAGGACCAGGAGAATTATTTATATAATGACCATAATATTATAAAGAACAACTTTGAAAGTCTGCAATGACCAATTACAACTCCAGAAGACTACTGATGAAGCATGTTTACCACCTCTTGGTAAGTAGTGAAAACAACTAATGGTGCAATTGTCCATTTGTATATAGATTTACCTCCTCAATTCAATGATTCATTGCTACCTGATCCAAAGAACTTCCTATTTATCTATTGCCATAGTTAATTTTGAGCAAAAATGGCTTCCTAAAATGCTCTACTAAAATGCTCCATGGAAGCCAAACATTTTTCCATGTCATGTAATGGCTCAGAGTCAGCTGTTAATACTATTAGCAAATAAATATAGATTAACTAAAAGGAGCAGCTAGGTGGTACAGTGGATAGAGTGCCTGGCCTGGAGTCAGATAGACCTGAGTTCAAATCTGGACTCGGATACTTACTAGCTGCATGACCCTAGACAGTTCACTTAACTCAGTTTCCTCATCTATAAAAGCTGGAGAAGGAAATGGCCTACCACTCTAATATTTTTGCCAGGAAAACCCCAAATGAGATCATGAAGAGTTGGACACAACTGAAAAATGACTGAACAACTAAAAGAAAGCATCTTGTTCAAGATATTGTTGGAGAAGTCATTGCTAAAATTAGTGGGCTAATCAAACAATTATTTTTTTAGAAGACAAGTTAACTTTAAGACCAAAAGCTAAAATTAGGTACACAAGTACAGATTTTCTATGTGCACCTACAACGTAAAACATCTAATTCGTACCAGACAATAATACTTTGTGAAAAGCAAATCTTTTGCTGTTATTGTTCATATCATACACTACGCAAAACACATGGTATGTGGACATTCTTTGAAATATTTTACCAGGTACTAAAAAAAGAAGAAAATACATTATTAGATGTCCTTTGTGTTCTTGAAAGCCCTTCTCAATTTTCCTTTTTCCTACTTTCTCCTCTTCCCTACTCTCTTTTTTCTTCTTCTCTTCCTTCACTCACCTTCCTATCCTTAGGAAGCCCAAATACAGGATAAATTGCAGCTCCTGTGTCAAAGGAGCAATAATCAAAACAAGGTCAGGTCTCCCATAGACCAGGGTGTTAGGGATGATGGGTGTCTCACATGTTTCTTCTGGCTAGGCAGGATGGCATAGTGGAAACACATTGGATTTGGAGTTGGAGGACCTGGGTTTGAATCCTGGGAATTTACTTGCTATCAAGCCTTCTCATTTGTTTAATCAACTGGATCTTATTCTTTATCAATTCTATTATGTTACATAAGGGCTGTGTTTACATGCTTGGCAACAGGCTATTCTAGAACAACTCTGGCAAACACTTATGGCCAACCCAATGAACTGCATCTACTTAGAGTTAAAAAGAAGGTGACAGTTATTTCTCAATCTTACTTCAATCTGTCAGCATGCAAGAAGGATCGTTGCTGAAAGTTTCTATTACAGTCTTTCTCTGTTAGTTCTGTCTAGCTTGCAAATAAAAAAGTCTTGACTCAAAAGACTCATTTCCATACATCCTTACCACCTTCTATTTTTAAGAAATCCTCTTGTTTCTTTACCTCGATGAAGTAAAATGCTTGTAACTGAAAAAAAAAAGCCAAACTTTCCCCTGCCTCCCCAGTAAATGAATTAAAAGTAGAAACTCTCTCACATTATAGGGCAATAATCTAGAGCTAGAAAGGACCTGACTGGCCATTTAGTTCATCTCCTTATTTTATGGGTAAGGCCCTGGGGAGATTAAGTGACTTGGCCAAATTCACACAGAGGAAGGTTTGGAGTCAAGGTCCTCCTATTTCAGGGCCAGTGCTCTTTCCACTGTACTCTCCTGCCTCAGAAAATAGAGCTAATTACTCATCTTTCTTCTCTACTATTACTGTAGAAGATTTGACCGGAATCATAGCTCACCTATTGAACTGCTGAACTTTTTGCTAATCCCTGGGGGAGAAAGTCCAAATAAAAAAATGATCAAAAAGAAATTCATAGGGAAAATTATGACTTATCTGGACATCCTCTTGGATCTGCCTAGAGCTTTCTTCGTATTTCTCAAAGCATCCCATTACCCAGCCAGAACATTGTGACATCACCACTCAATGGAAGTTAGAATGTAGAATGAGATAAGTTTGAGTCAATCAGAAGACCATTTTACATTCATTGATTTCTTTTTTTTTTATTAATTTCACAAAATGATGTTTGGGACATAATATATTTGAATTAACAAGAAGGAACATATTAGAATGAAAAATCTATTTCAGCCTTTTCATTGAAAACAATAATAATGAATTCAAAATATTTGCTTTTCAGTTTTCAAATCTTTTTAGTTCTGTACATCTTTTGTAGTAATGACAATCAAAATTACTATTTTTTTAAAATAATAAGAAATGACAGGTTTATGCTTAAGAAGAGTCTCATTCATGCACAGGATGCTACTTTTCATTCAGGAAAAAAAAGGATTGAATAAATTTGTTGGAATTTTAAAGCTACTTAGTCCTATTTTGTTGTTGTTGTTCAGTCATTTCAGTCATTTTTGACTTTTGGATTTGAAAATCCCATTTAGGATTTTCTTGGCAAAGACACTAAAGTGGTTTGCCATTTTCTTTTCCAGCTTATTTTACAGATGAGGCAACTGAGGGAAACAGGGTTAAGTGACTTGCCCAGTGTCATACAACCAGTAATTATCTGAGGCCAGATTTGAACTCAGGAAGAGAAGTCTTCCTGACTCAGGGCCTGGCATTCTATTCACTGTGCCACTTAGCTGCTTCACTCAGTCCCATAATACCTATAAAAAGATATTTGTCTTATAAAAGATAACCAAGCTTCTCCAATAAAATCTATTATTCATTCCACGTGGCAATTCAAAGATAAAATGAAAAATAATGCCAGATTTTAGGTATGAAGAGAGTCAGTTTTAGAGTCCTGAATGTGTTATCAGTTGTCATCAAAAGACCATCTTTGATAGCATTACGTTTATCAATGGAGAGCCTTGGCTCAGGCAACATTTATGATCTATAGTGACACCAATATTAGCAGAAACAACGAATTTAAAGAAGGTTGTATGAGCAATGATTTCCAATGATTTATTGTTGTTTAGTCATTCAGTCACGTCCAACTCTACATGAGTTGCTGGAACATACTGTCCATGAGGTTTTCTTGGCAAAGATACTGGAGTGTCTTGCCATTTCCTTCTCCAGTGGATCAAGGCAAACAAAAATTAAGTGATTTGCCCAGGGTCACACAACTAGTAAGTGTCTGAGGTCATATTTGAACTCAGGTCTTCCTGACTCCAGGTCCAGCACTCTATCCACTGAGCCATTAAGCTGTTGCTCAGCTCTCTAATGAGAACTTAAACTAATCCAATTTAATTCTAAATGTACAGTTCTTATGGATAGATATAGAATGCACATTTTTAAAAACAATTTTTATTTTTATTAATGCTTTTTATTTTTATATAAAATTAATTTCCAAATATCTCTCTCCCTCCCTTATTCAGTGAACCATTTTTTGTAACAAAGATTAAAAATGAAAATAGTAAGAAAAAAATTCAGCAAAACTAACCAAAACCTAGGTGGTATCTGACAGTATATTCAATATTCTACACCCATAGTCCTTCTACCTCCACAATGAAGGGTGATATTATAGGAACATAGATTTAGAGCTAGAAAGGACCTCAGGGGCCATTTAAGTCCATCTTCCTCATTTCACAGATGACACCCAGGGAAGAGGAGTGACTTGTACAAGGTCACATCATCAGAGTGGGATTTGAATCCAGGGCCTTTGACTAGAACTAATATCTTTCCACTGCATCAAGGAAGTACCTGCATTTATTTCTTATTACACAAATGTTTTATATTTGCTATCTCATCTAGACATCTCCATGACTTAAAGTATCTAATAAAAAGACAGAAGCTGATCTGTAATTCACTCAAACACATAATTATTATTTGTCTTATATGATTTAGAGCAAGAAGAAACCTTAAAGGTTACTTAGTACAAGCTCTTCATTTTCCAAATGGAAAATTTGAGATGGAGAATGGGGGAGTGAGTGAACTGTCTAAGGTCCCATAGGTATTAAGTAAAAAAAGTCAGGATTCAAACCCAAGTCCTCTGATTCTAAAGTCAGTATCTAAATTTACATATAATTTAAATATGAATATAAATTTGCATGTAATATTCACTGTGCTGGATGCTAGCAGAAGATACAGAAAAAAACAACACACCATAAGTTAGATCTCAATGAATCTAAAATCCAATAAGAGTACTAGGACCTAGACACAAATTACCATGAAAGAAATTAGTACATAGTAAATGCCTAAGAACAGTACTAATGATGTTATTAGTTGAGATATGGGTGAGATCACCATGGGCTGTAGAACCTAGAAAAGAAAGTTCTTGTCACCCAAGTCCTTGGTACTGTCAAATGGTTAAACATCAGAAACTGATGTGACTTTATCAGTGGAAATGACTTTAAAACGGAGGTATTAACATCTGCTTTGCCCCTGTGCCCTAAGTATCATGGGAGCCTTCTGATTTGCAGCTGAAATACTCCATAAATGTTGTTTCCCACATTAGAATGTGAGCTCGTTGAAAGCAGAGACTGCCTTACTTTTCTGTTTATATCTTCAGAGCTTTGTACATAATAAACAATAAATGTTTCATTTTTTCATTCATAAGGCCAGCCTTAATGACATGTATGTTGAGCCTTGAAGGCTGGGAAAAATTTTTCCTTCTAAGAGATGGTATGAGCAAAGATACAGAGATAGGAAAATGTAGTAAAAATTCAGGGAATGGTGTTTAGTTACATTTGGTTATAAGACTATAGAATGTATGGAGAGTAGAGTGAAATGACTAGAAAGATAGTTTGAAGCCAGATTGTTGCAGTCTCAAATGCTAAGTGAAGGAATTGAGTTTTTAACTTGCTAGGTAGTGGGGGTGCTATTGAAAGGTTTTTGAGTAGAGGAGTAATAATCAAATATTCACATTCAAGAAACTAAGTTGGACTTTTGGTTAAGATGGTAATGTGAAAGTTCCTGGTGGAACCTAACTCTCTCAGAAATGCTCTGGCAATGATTTAAAAGGGCATAAGATGGAACAAGCATGAAGAAAACCAAACAAAAATACTAGTAAGCTCTTTCATTCAGTCCAGTACCATGTAAGAAGATGGCTAGAAGCCTGAGGGCACGCAGAGCAGACTGCATTGGGGGAAGTGGAAGCCAGTATGAGCTCCTCTGGTAAAGAGAACCTGAAGCCAGTGGGATATAGGCCCTGGTCTGTTAGAACATCAAGAGAGGACAGAGCCAGTCTCTGATTGGTGACTGTGTGGGGAGATATGTCACTGAATGTATGCCTCAATGTACTCCAAAAAGCCGGAGGCTAGTACTACTACACAAGCCACAGCAGGAGACAGAACCAGCACAGCACCAAGCATTCCATATGCCAATAGCTGTCCAAGAACCCTGAAGCCTGTGTTCTATTAAAAGTCATTGCACTACGTAGAGCAAAGTCACCTAAGGGACTTCTAGGAGATTCTGTGAGCATAATTTCTGATCAGGGAAAGGACTGAACTCTAATTTAAGGATTATGTTCAAAGAAGGATACTAATGCCCAGCTAAACTACCAAGGAGAATAAAGCATAAACTAGGGTGTAGTTCTCACCACCCCATGCAGAATTGTAGCAGCACCAATAGCTTCCAAACTCCAAAGGTGATAGTATATAATATAGAGTGCATACCCTGTCTAGCAGTACAAGAAGCAGTATGCCCTGGCCCTGGCACAAGGTCCCCATCTAAGATAAAAGATCAGAAATGTGAGTAAACAGAAGAAAATTCTTCATAAAATGAAAAAAAAAAAAGGAATTAGGAGATAAAACCAGAAGAGGGTAACAACAATGAGTACAAGTAGAGCCTCAGAAAAGAATGGCTTGGTCACAAGAATTCAAAGAATGGCTAGAAGAAATGACTCAAACAATAGCAAGTGAAGTTAAGTATGCAATCACAGATCTTGAGGAGAAAAAGTGGAAGGAAAATAAATAGCTTAGCATAGAAGGTAGGTAACAAAATCCAAGTAGTGGGGGACGAAGCCAAGATGGCAGAGTAAGAGCACTGACTTGTTTGAGCTTTCCCCCAAACCCCTCCAAATACCTGTAAAAAATGGCTCTAAACAAATTCTAGAGCATCAGAACCCACAAAAAGACAGAGTAAAACAAATTTCCAGCCCAAGACAACCTGGATGATTGATTGGAAAGGTATGTTGTGCTGCGCTGAGAGCACAGCAGTTCAGCATGGGCCCCTCAGGCAAAGACCAGGCCTCAGTGAACCTGGAGCAGGCCTCAGGGGACTGAATCACAGGCAGCTGTGACAGTTTCCAGACTTCTCAACCCACAAATGCCAAAGACAACTTAGAAGGTCAATAGGAAATGTCTGTCAGACTGTGGTGAGAGAGGAGCTTGGTCTGACCCCAGTCCTTGTACAGCCCTGGGAAGGCGATTGCTTCTAGAGCTCTCAGTCCACTGATGATGGGGAGATCTAGCAGCTGATCAGAGAGGGATTGCAGGGATCTCTTTGCTGGTTCTGAGGCAGGATTCTTTTGCTGTGCCAGTGCTTGGATCTGGGTCACAGTATTAGGTGGTGGTCTTGGGGCGGTGAGGAAGATTTCTCTTTCCTGTTTACCTTTTCATGTTTCCCTTGAGTTTTGTAATAGAAAGTTAAGTTTTCTATTCAGCTCTGGTCTTTTCATCAAGAATGCTTGAAAGTCCTCTATTTCACTGAATATCCCTTTTTCTCCTGAAGGACTATATTTAGTTGTGCTGGGCAGGTGATTCTTGGTTTTAATCCTATCTCTTTTGACCTCCAGAGTATTATATTCCAAGTCCTCAGGCCCCTTAATGTAGAAGCTGCTAAATCTTGTGTTATCCTGATTGTGTTTCCACAATACTTGAATGGTTTTTTTCTGGCTGCTTGCAATATTTTCTCCTTAACTTGGGAACTC